CGTGTGCTCTTCCGATCTTAAAAGTTTTATGAATTCGAGAAGGACATAACATGGTACCATTGATTTCACGTTGGATAGTCGTTTAAACTACCATATTTGATTGTATTTACTTATACCTTACCTTGAGAACTTTTCAAAACATTATAATAAAGTATTTGTTCGTATTTTTCATATTTTTTTTCATATTTGCCTGAGGAAATAAAGAAATACATCCTGTATATTATTAATTCTTGTATATTATTCGTAAAAAATTTTTTTATTGTATATTTTATAATTTTGTATATTATTTTATAAAATATTTTTAAGTTATTTATAATATTGAAGATATATTAATCAAAAGATATATTAATATTTATTGATAATGATTGCATTCTAATATTACTGACGAATTTTTCCTTTGGTTTTACACTTTGCATTGTTATACATCCTTGATGAAGCTGTCATCTTTCAAGGACAGAATCCACATTAGTCGATGGCCAAGATTAATTTTCGATCAGTGGGTCCTGGGACTATCTTCTTTCGAGGATAGAGTCCTCATTGATCGACGATCAGGATTAATCTTTGATTAGTAGTAAGTGCTGAAACTGTCCTCAAAAGAAGATACTCTCAATATTCAATGATCTGCAAAGATTAATCTTGGCCATCAGAGGAAAATTATTGAGTCAAAATTATTATGTCAGAGGAAAATTATTGAGGATTATCTTAAGCATTTATTTTCTAATGCCTCTGCCTGCCGAGGATAGCATCGTTCATGCTGTTTACTCTAATCGGCATTGATGTGATACGCGAACACCCTGTATGTGTCTTATATTCCTTAAAACCGTTATTCAAACATTTAAGTTGTTACACGATAGTATCGGAATTCTACATGGTATTTATACGCGAAATTAGTTCCTAAACGTGTTACCTTAATTTATGTTATTGATTTCGTGATTAGATAATAATTTACTGCCTGTAACGTACAGCCGTAATTTCTTTTTGCAAAAATAAACCTTAAATGACTATAATCGCCACAATTTAAAAAATTGACTCTTTAGTTTTACGTTAAATATACGTCATTAATCTGGAAACAACAATTTCAATTCTTAATCGCTATATTAGAATTTTATGCAGTCATATCATACACGATTGATTGCAAAATTCATCTCGATTTCCCCTGTCATATTATATGTATGTTCTTCAATAATATAATTTTTAAAGTTATCGTATCTATATACTGAACCACATGTAAAATGTATTTAACAAATTAGTTTGTAAGAAATACACAGAATATTACGCAGTCAAGCTATTCGATAAATAATTTTAGCGAAGATGTCAATACACTATGTATAGCTCGGATTTTGTTAAAATTGATTATCGCTTTCGATATGGAATGCGCCTTGAGAGAAGAAATTTTAAAAGCAACAATGACGAAATTATTTTTTCATTAAATTTGTAAGTAACTTTAAATTCTTTTTGTTAATGTTAAGATTTGCGCTATCTATCAGGTGACCCGTTTTTATTGTGTCAAGTTAGGAAGTAGCTTTGGAGCGTTAACGGCCGGGCGCATGCCAGTCGATTACGCGGAGTAGTTTACAACCTCGAAGCTAACTAATTGCGAACGTTCAATGGGCTACGGCGATGCCCTTCTACTACCCTCGCCTTTCTCGCCCTTCCGTGAAAGTGATTCTGCTTAAAATGCAACATTTCTTTAGCGAGCGAATATCAATTCTTATTTTGTTAATTTCTTTTTAAATGTTAAATACACAATTAATTTTTTAAATGTATAATAAATGAATTTAAATTCTAAAGATTATATTTTGAAATTTCTCTATCAAAGAAATATAGTATGACAATGTTAAGTTTATTATTTAAAAATTGTTGTTTACAGCAAATCGTTGCAAACAATTTTTAATTAATAATATTAACATTGTCATGCTATATTTATATTTATTTTTCCAAAAAGCAGATTTCAAAATATCTTCAAGACATCTAAAAGATATTTTCAAGACATCTAAAAGATATCGTTTAGAAATCTTTGAAATATATGTAAAGAAGTTTTTAAGATATCTTAAATAAATCTTCTAGATATTTAAAGAAACCTTTTAGATATCTGTAAGTATCATAAGATGTCTTTTAGATACCTAAACGATATCTTCGAGATATCACTATGACATCTTTTAGATTCTGTAAAATATCTTTAAGACATCTCCAGATATCTGAAAGATATCTTATTGTTAAACTGTTGCATAAGACATCTTTTAGATCCCTAAAAGATGTCTTTCCGTAAAAAATGCAAGATATCTCAAGACATTGCAAAAGATCGTTTCGAAGTCTAAAAGACATCTCTTTGTCTATATGGGATAATTCTACTAAAACTCTTTAAAAAAAAAGAAAAAGATTACGCCAGGTATATAAAAAAATATCGTACGTTACATCCTTCTTAAACTAATAATTTATTTTAACAAATAAAAATTGTCCAAAAACAAATTACCAAAAAGTAATGAGATCCTACCAAAACTCTTTTTTAAAAAAAAGAAAAAGATTACGCCAAGTATATAAAAAAGTATCCGTACGTTACATTCTTCCTAAACTAAAAATAATATTTTAACAAATAAAAATTGTCCAAAAACAAATTACCAAAAAGTAATGAGATCTTACCAAAACTCTTTTTTAAAAAAAGAAAAAGATTAGGCCAAGTATATAAAAAAGTATCATATGTTACATCCTTCCTAAACCAAAAATATTATTTTAACAAATAAAAATTGTCCAAAAACAAATATGAGATCATACAAGTTGCCAAGTATTTGATTAGAAACAAAAATTTCTTTTTAAAAACCGTTTAACCATTCAAAAGTACATGCAGCAAAAGTTTAATGCCAGTCTTTTCAAATATTTTTAAGTTTCATAAAACAAGCTTAAAGTAGCTAAAATGACCAATAGGATCACAGTGAAGCAAAAACTTGGCGTGCCCGCATTTTATATATATCTTATCAATTAAATATTAATGCAATCCGAGCCACGCCAAATTTTTGCTCCCATTGGTCATTTTAGTCACTTTAAGCTTGTTTTATGAAACTTAAAAATATTTAGAAAGATTGGCATTAAACTTTTGCTGTATGTACTTTTGAATGGTTAAACGGTTTTTAAAAAGAAATTTTTGTTTCTATGTCTAATCAAATAC